ATCATCAGCATCATCAGCATCATCATCATAATCAGCATTATCATCATCATCAGCATCAGCATCAGCATCAGCATCATCATCATCACCATCATCATCCTCATCATCATCATCATCATCATCATCATCATCGTCATCATCATCATCATCATCATCAGCATCATCAGCATCATCAGCATCATCATCCGCCTCTTCCGCCTCCTCCTCCTCCTCCGCCCCGCTCCGCCCGCCTGCTGAAGAGGCCGCCCTCCGCGCGCCACCCTCACGTGCGCACGTGCCGCCGACCTCCTAGTCTTGAGCAGGGGCCGACCAGTCTTAGAACCCGCAAATGTTCTAATAATGAAATCAAGGTGCTTAGAACATAGACCCGACGTGTAAAACAAGACAATCTCAGCCAGAAATGGTCTAAGAGTATGTCGTGCACACCACTGAAGGTGCTTAGAACCATTTGCTGGTGGGCAAGCCAGGACACTTCGCCACTGCTCGATAGTCATTACCCCCCGCCTGGCCGCCCCCGGACTCTGCACCCCCCCGGCCGAGGCTCCACTCGTTGCCCGGGCCGCAGGTGAACTCGTACACGCCGTCATCGAGGGTGACGAAGGCGGTGGTGCGAGGGCCGTAGAGCACCACGAGGCTCATCACCTCAGAGGGGGCCGGAAAAAAGACATCGGCTGCTCAAACTCCGTACCTGGACTCGTCCGCCTCCCCACTATCCTCCTCCTCCTCCTCCTCCTCCTCCTCCTCTCCCTCCCCTCCTTCCTCCTTCCTCCTCCTCCTCCTCCTCCTTCCTCCTCCCCCTGCCCCCTCCTTCGCCTTGCTATCGCTGGTGCGCAGGCGCCCGTCGTCTCCCTCGCGCGCCTCCCTGGCCCCTCCCTCGCCCCTCATCCTCCTCCTCCTCCTCATTATCATCATCCTCTCTCTCCTCCACTCCTCCTCCTCTTATCCTCTCCTCCCCCCTCCTTCTCCTCCTCCCTCCTCCTCCTCCTCTCCTCTCTCCTCCTCTTCCTCCACCTCCTCCTCTTCCTCCTCCTCCTCCTTCTCGTCGTTGTCGTCCTCCTCCTCCTCCTCCTCCTATCCTCCTCCTCCTATCCTCCTCCTCCTACTCCTCCTCTTCCGCTTCTCCTCCTGCTCCTCCTCTCCTCCTCCTCCTTCTTGTCCTCTTCCGTTCCTTCTCTTCATAACAAATAACTTCTCCCTGTCGCACCCCGAGGTCCAATTTTAAGGGCGGGCTGGGCGTTTCGCTCGAGACGTCGTCACAATGATGACCCTGGAGCTGCAAAATTGGCAACAGTTTCACAGATGAAGGCGGGTGGTTTTCAAAATGTGTCTCTCGTCTTAACGCCGCGCACATTCGTTTTAAACATGCGCAAGAGTTTCACGGAGTGAGGGCGGATCGTTTTCAAAATGTGGCTCTCGCCTTAGCGCCGCGAACATTCGCTTTAAACAATGCGCAAGAGTTTCGCGGAGTGAGGGTGGATCGTTTTCAAAATGTGGCTCTCGCCTTGGCGCCGCGCACATTCGTGTGCATTATTTGCAAGAGTTTCACGGATTGAGGGCGGGTGGCTTTCAAAATGTGGCCGTCGCCTTAGCGCCGCGCACATTCGTTTTCAAAATTTTCAGGACTTTCACGGATTTAGGGCGGTTCCTTTTCAATATGTGGCTCGCTCTCGCCTTAGCGCAGACATTCTTGTTACAAAATTGCAAGATTCTCACTGATTCCCATGATCGAGGTACCAGAAATTGTGTTTTGGACGGATTCGCGATTTGTGGGGCGCAACAGTTACGATGATTCACGGTGTTGAAGTCACAGGAAAGGCGTTCTGGCACGACTCAGGATCGTCACGACGCAACAGTCAGGCTTATCCGTGGCGTTGGAATACCGAGAACACTGTTTTGGCATGCTTCAAGGTCTTCAAACGGATGTCTTCGAACGAGGCAGGTCCCTCTGAGAAAATGAACCGTTGTAGGGGCCTATGCAAAGGGAGCTTGGGGGGAGGACTTATTCCAACGTCGTTGGTGACTCTTGGGTTTGCACTGGTCCTCCTCCTCCTCCTCCTCCTCCTCCTCTTCCTCCTCCTCTTTATATTTTCCTCCTCCTGCTCCTTGTCTTGGCGAACAGGGCCGGCGGCACCGGCCGTCAGGCGATCGCAGTCGGACCCCCAGACCCCTACGGGGGCTCACTGGCATCAGCTTTCCGAGCTGCGCCCAGGCGTGGCGACGAGGCGCCCCCGCAGGCCAACTACCTGATTAGGTCACCTAACTTCGCGACTTCGCGCCGCCGTCTCTGGAGAAGGGCACCTCCGCCAACCCAAGCCGCGATGCGCGAAGCGCGATTATCTTCGCGCCCCTGGGGGTGACCTAGACTACCGTCGTCTCAGCTCGCCCTCCTCTGATCACCTGGTCGCGGCCCGTGGCGCCGATCAGGCCGGTAGACTTGTCCCAGATGCCCACGATGGTGCCAACCGCCCAGTTGTTGTCGACGATGGAGCTGCCGTCCAGCGGGTCCCAGCAAAGCACGTACTGGCCGTCGGGGTTCGTCTTGACGATCTCCGGCTCCTCCTCCGACGACGCCTCGTGCCCCAGGATCTGTCTGTTCTCCCTCGTCCCCTCCTCCTCCTCCTCCTCCCCCTCCTCCTCCTCCTCCTCCTCCTCCTCCTCCTCCTCCTCTTCCTCCTCCTATCCTCCTCCTCTTCCTCCTCCTATCCTCCTCCTCCTCCCCTTCCTCCCCCGCTCCCTCCTCCTCATCATCATTATCCTCCTCCTCCTGCTCTTCTTCTTATTCTTCCTCCTCCTCCTCCTCCTCGTCCTCCTCCCCCTTCTCCTCCCTCGCGCCTCATTCACCAGCTTGCTGGTCTTTGCCAAGTCCCACAGAAGGTCGTCGGCGATGACGTCGACAGTGAGCTGCGTGTCGCCGAAGGTGTTGGAGCTGTCGTTCACCGTCACCAGATTCACGCGCAGCGCGTCCGTGATCTTGACGCAGCAGTCCAGCAGCTCGTTGACCTGGGAAGACGAGAGCATGCGCTAAGACAAAGCGAGGACGAGGAAAAAGCTCGGGTGAAGACAGATCGAGAATCTTTGAGAGCTGGCGGCTCTGGAAGACTAAGAGGTCTCGGGCACCGCGGCTTTCTCAGAGCGTTCCGGAAGGCTCTGAGAGCGTTCTGGAGCGCTCTGGGACGGATTTGTCCTCGTCCGAACCCCGCCCGCTGCACACACATTTACTTTTTGAACGTCCCGGGCGGGGCGAGCAAACCGCACGGCGGCTCGGTAAACACGACCCTGGCCAGAGCGAGCGAAAGCGGGGCAAAGCCAGGGAGGACTCACACGATGCAGGACAGGCCCACGCTGGCCAGAACTAGGACGGCAAGGGGCAAGCGGGGCAGGGTCAAGTGGGGCCAAACAGAGCGAAGAGGAAAGCGAGGAGCGAGGAAGAAGGGCACACGCACACCCGCAAACGCATCATTACGCACACGCGCACGCACACGCACGCGCACGCGCACGCACGCACGCACACGCACGCACGCGCACGCACGCACGCGCACGCACGCACGCGCACGCACGCACACACACGCACGCAGGCGCGCACACCCTGGGCGGGCCCGCCGGGGCCCAGGACCGGTGCAAAAGCGCCATCCCTGGCCGGCGCGGCCAGGGGCGCGAGCACGCCGCTCCTGGACCCAGGCTGGGCGTGGTGAGGATCGGCCAGTGCGCACCATCTGGCGCCGCCCGCAGTTCCCAGCCAGGCAGGTTGGGGCTGTCAGATCCAAAGAACCCAGACCCCCTCGGGTCAAGTAAAAAATCACGACGGGAGGTTTTTCTGCTATTTTCGGCCTCTGGGGGCCCTTACCGGGCCTCGGGACCGTCAGAAAACGACTCAGGATTGAAAACCAGTCCCGGGGAACGTGTCGACCCAGACATGCGACGTCCTGATTTTTCAGGACGGCATTTCTGGAGGTCCCGACCCTTTCCCTGGGACCGTTTCTTTCTATCCTGAATCGTATTTTTGACGGTCCCGAGGCCCAGCGAGGGCCCCCCGGGGCCGAAAATAGCCAAAAGCCTTCCGTCCTGATTTTGTTTAACGACGCGATTATGTCTGGGGAGACTTCTGGGGGTCGACGCCGTGCGAAAAAGAAATGACGTCGGGGGTGTGCGAAGAGGGCTCCCGACCCGCCTCGCACACCCGGCATACCGTGGCCGCCAGGCCCAGAATGTGGCGGCGATGCTCGCTGGGTATCCCGCCTCGCGCTCTTGGCCGTGGATCGCTCGAAGCAGCATTAGGTCGGACATGTCCTCCTGCAGGCGGATTTTGGGCGAACGAATGACAAATGTGGAACCAAAAAAATGCCCCCAAATAGTCAAAGAGAGTCCAAAATTCGTCCCCATAATATTTTTCAACTCTTAAAACATATTCCTCCTGTAGAGGAACGTGCCCGACTTAAAAGCAGCACCTTTTATGCTGCCCACTGGCCATGCCCTTCAGCTTCTCGTCCTTCAGCTTCTTGTCGAGCACCTCCGCAAGTGTGTCGTACTTGTCCTTGGCCACGGCGTCCGTGTAGAAGGAGGTGTGGGAAGCGCCGTACGCCGCGTCCTCTGCCGCGCGGCGCACCTTTCTGGGCGCCCCTCCATTGCTTCTCCTCCTGGTGCCCCTCCTCCTCCTCCTCCTCCTCCTCCTCCTCCTCCTCCTCCTCCTCCTCCTCCTCATCTTCCCCCTCCCCCCCCTTCACATCCTCATCCTCCTCCAAAGCGACAAATTATGAATACTACTTTCCTGTCTTCCTGACTCCGTCCAGAAAGTATTCGGCCGTCTCTGCGTACTCCATTCCCCAAACGGCGCTTGCACTTAAAGGGTTCTTACTTGCGTTCTGAAGAACTGGGCCTGCGTGTCCGTCTGGCGGCTCCGTGGTCGCCGTCGCCGTCTCGCCGCCGCACAGGTTGCACCATATGTGTATATGTATATGTATATATAGATGTGTCTATATATATACACATATATATGTATGTACTTGTCTACGAAGATAATATGCTATCCCACCCGCCCCAGAATGAACGGTACCCCGTTTCGTATTGACAGCTACATACGGTTCAGCCCCATCGCCCATCCTTTAAATATACTCATACCATCTTAAGCAAACCGGCGAGGTCCCCCCATCCCCTTCGAAAACACTATGCGCGCACACTCGCTTATCAAACATTCAAGAACATGTTGGAAACAATGCACGCGCGCGCGTCGTCGCGCGCGCAGGCAGGAACCCTTCACAAACACTACGTTGCGTAAGGATTTCAAAATCGAATGTCTCGAACACATATAAAAATACAGTGGTTCGCAACAAGAATGTTCAAAAGAAGCTTGCGTTCGGGTTCTTGCGAATTCTTGGGAAGCCACATGATTTTTCAACATGATCACTACTTGCTACCAAATGGGCTTCGCGCGCGCGCAGGTCGGAATCATTCAAACGCCCTTTGCGTGCGCGTTGTTGCAATAATCTTTTGCAACAGAGAAGCGACGGGACGAAATGCACGCGCGCACGTCGTCACGCGCGCATGCAGCAATCAATCAAACACTTCAAATGTCGTGTGAATTTCAAACTCGGGCGCCCCGAAAAATAGAACAACAAATGGTTTTGCAACAACAGTTTTCAAACATGCATGCGCTCGCGCTCCAGCAATTCTTGTCTAGAGCAAACTTAAGTGTGTGAGCATTTCCTTGAATTCAATTAAGCGGGCCCCTCGTTCCGCAGGTCGAGATCATTCGGGCGCCCTTTTGCGCGCGTGTTGGGGGAGGGCCACGATCCGTGGCAAAGAATACAATGCGGGCCAGTCTCGCGCGTCGGCCCCGCGCGCGAGTCGAACTCCCTTCAAAATGTTCACCACATACCCGAAGGCGCCGTCATCGTCGTCGGCGTGATCAGCATGGGCGCCGTCAGTGGCCTTGCCGTCGTCGTTGTCATCATCGTCACCAGCATCGCTACTGAATTATTGCCCAATGGGTACCGCGGCCGCGTCGGCAGCGCCAAACTATCTGGCCGCTGTGCGCGGGAACATGTGCGGGTCAGCGCGGCCGCAGAGCTGCGCCAACCAACTCCAAGCACTCACCGCAATCGCCGCCGCACGGGTTTTGCAAACCAAATTGCGGGTGGGTGGGATGATTGGCGAGCATTGGAGTGGGCAACTCAGTGCGAACAAACATTCATTATCTTCTCTTACAGGAAATTAGATTATACCCCCACCCCCCTGGGATTATCAACTCGGCCTCGCGTGTTGTGTTTCTCATACGACCCCGACTCATCGCTCATTCTTCCTGGCGAACGAATACCATCCAGGCGAGCCAGCATCCGCCCCCCCCTCCAATGATATGCGGTGCGCGCGCGTTGATACAAAATGAGCCTGTGGTGCGAATTCCGAACAAATAAGAACATGCGGGCCACATGCGCGCGCCCGTCGCGCGCGAAAAACGAAATCCTAATTAAACACATGTTGTTAGCATGGCGATTTTAACAGTAAACCATTTTTTCAAGTACCACATGCCTTCCAACAAAAAGTTGTCAGCATGTCATCCAGCTCGCACTTGCGAGTTCTTCAGGACACCAGCGGTTGTCCTACATGTTCGTGCAATGATACTACAAAGGCTTCGCGGGTGTGCGTGTCGAATTCGTTCGAACGCACTTGCGCGCGTGCTGTCGCGAGAATCCTGTGCAACAAATGGGACCAAGTGCGCGCCCGCGCGTCGTCGCGCGCATGCCGCAATCCGGTAACAAAAAAACCCTCGGTTTCGCAGCGATGTCGAAACCGAGTGTCGAAACAAACATGTACAAACACAAGGTTTCGCAACGTCAGTTTTCAAACATCTTGCGCTCGCGTTCTGGCGAACTCTTCAGACAACCATAAGCTTTCAAAATTCGCAAGCCATTCTGCAAAACGGGCCTCTAGCGCCGCATGCCGAAATCATTCGCACACTCTTGCGCGCGCGCTGGGGGGGAGGCACGACCCGTGTCAAATCATACCATGCGGGCCACTCTCGCGCGCCGGCCGCGTTCGCATGTCGAACTCTTTCCAAGACCTTCATCCGCGACTCGAGGACGCCGTCACGTTGCCGGCGTGATCAGCATCGGCGCCGTCCCTGACCCCGCCGCCGTCGTTGTCAACATCGTCACCAGCGTCGTTAGTATTTTCATCGTGTCTACCATTGTCGATGTTGCCATGAAATCGCGCCCGCCCAAGTCGCCGATTCGCAGTGAAATGCCCGCTGGGATGTGCCCAACGGTCAGCGCCGCCGTGGCCACATCGGTCGCGCCAAACTAGCTGGCCGCTGCGCGCGCGTACTTGGGTTCGCGCGGCCGCAGAGATGCACCAGCAAACGCCAAGCACTCATCGCAATCGCCGCCGCATGGGTTTTGCAAACCAAGTTGCAGGTGGGTGGGTGGGGTGTTTGCAATAACATGGTGTGTACCCAGGGACGTACCCAACCCTCTGTACACATGAAGCGACTATATATCGGACCGCTCAATGCAAAAAGCGTGCCCTTGAAAGATCCGCCAGAGAACGTCGGGCCATAATCACATGTTCACATATGCGGCGTCGCCCTGAAGAGTCAGATCGTTGGCAAGAAGGCGGCCGCGAGGGAGTGCATACACACAGTAAGGAGAGACGATTGGTAACAAGATTCGTGGGAACAGCGCCGCTGAACCCCCCAACGCCGAAACCCACCCCCCCAGAGGACGGCGAGGTTTCATGGTGATCTGGGTAAGACGTGCCCCCGCTGGGCCTCCCATGAGCCCACAAAACTGGCGACAACTTCGCAGATCGCAACCCCCCAGGGGACGGCGAGGTCACGTGGTGATCTGCGGAAGACGCATATCCGCTGGCTCTCCCAGGAGCCCACGAAAGTGGCGGCAGTTTTGCAGATCGCAGGCCCAGAAAACGGCGAGGTCTCATGGTGATCTGCGTAAGACGCACCTCCACCTCGGGATCCCAAGACCTCCCAGGAAGTGGCGACGGCTTCGCAGATCGCGGCCCCTCAGGAAACGGCGAGGTCTCCTGGTGATCTGCGCAGGACGCACCTCCGCTGGGTCTCCCAGGAGCCCATTCGACGAGAAATGGCGACAGCTTCGCAGATCTCAGCCCCCCACGGGACGGCGGAAGACGCAGACCTGCGGAAGACGCACATCCGCTGGGCCTCAGAACTAGCGACGGTTTCGCAGATCGCAGCCACCCAGGGGACGGCGAGTCCTCGCGGAGATCTGCGTAAAACGCATCCCCGCTGAACTTCCCATGAGCCCACAAAACTGGCGACAAATTCGAAGATCGCAGCCCCCCAGGGGCCGGCGAGTCCTCGCGATGATCTGCGCAAGCCGTACCTCCGCTGGGCCTTCCATGATCTCATGAAAGTGGCCGCAGTTTCGCGGATCGCAGCCCCCGGAAAACGGCGAGGTATCATGGTGATCTGCGTAAGACGCACATCCGCTGGGCCTCAGAAGTAGCGACGGTTTCGCAGATCGCGGCCCCACAGGGGACGGCGAGGTCTCATGGTGATCTTCGTAAAACGCACCCCCGCTGGGGCTCCCAGGACCCCGCCGAAAGTGGCGACAGCTTCTCAGATCGCAGCCCCCCCAGGGGACGGCGAGGTCCCATGGTGATCTGCGTAAGACCCACCTCCGCTGGGCGCCCCCCAGGAACCACGACCGTGGTCGTCGTCCCCTTCCGACCTCCTCCCCTCGTTCTCCTCCCCTGGCCGCTCTGCATGGAGTGCAGGGTGCACGCGCTGCGCGTCGCCGCTGTTGGGGCCCGGCCCTCCCCCCTCGCCTCCTCTTCCTCCTCTCTTCGGTCGTTCGTCGTCTGCTGCTGCTCTCCCCCCCTCCCCCTCCTCTCTTCTTTTCTCCCTCTCCCTCTCCCTCTCCTTCCCCTTCGCTTTCGTCGCTCACCGAGCGCTTGCGCGAACTCTGTTCAATTCTCTTGTGCGGCCGTTTGCCCACAGCGATGAATTCAGCAAGTGGTGAGGAGTTGTGGTGTGATCGAGGCTGAAAACAAATAATTCAAACACATAAAAATAATACAGATCGCCGCCCCCCAGGGGCGGCGAGGACTCACGGTGATCTGCGTAAGACGCACCTCCGCCAGGGCTCCCATGAGCCCCCGAAAGTGGCGACGGTTTCGCAGATCACAGCCCCCCAGATGGGACGGCGAGGTCTCACGGTGATCTGCGTAAGGCGCACCTCCGCGGGGGCTCCCAGGGCCCACCCGAAAGTGGCAAGAGTGTCGCAGATCGCAGCCCCCCAGGGGACGACGAGGTCTCGTGGTGATCCTGCGAAATACGCACATTCTCTGGGCCTCCCAGGCGCCAACGAAAGTGGCGAAAATTTCGCAGATCGCAGCCCCTTGGGGACGACGAGGTCTCATGGTGATCTGCGTAAGACGCACCTCCGCTGGGCCTCCAAGAAGCCAACGACAATGGCGACAATTTCGCAGGTCGCAGCCCCCCAGAGGGGATGGCGAGGTCTCACGGTGATCTGCGTAAGACGTACCTCCGCTGGGCCTCCCAGGAGCCCACGGAAATGAGGACAACATCGCAGATCGCACCCCCCCCAGATGGGACGGCGAGGTCTCGTGGCGATCTGCATAAGACGCACCTCCGCTGGGGCTCCCAGGAGCCGACGAAAGCGGCAACAGTTTCGCAGATCGCAGCCCCCCTAAGGGACGGCGAGGTTTCGTGGTGATCTGTGTATGATGCACCTCCGCTGAGCCTCCCAAGAGCGCACAAGAAGGGGCGACAGATTCGCAGATCGCAACCTCCCAGGGGACGGCGAGGTCTCGTTGTGATCTGCGTAAGGCGTACCTCCGCTGGGCCTCCCAAGAGCCCACGAAAGTGGCGACGGTTTCGCAGATCGCAGCCTCCCTAAGGGACGGCGAGGTTTCGTGGTGATCTGCGGAAGACGCACCTCTGCTGGGCCTCCCAGGAGCCCGCGCAAGTGGCGACAGTTTCGCAGACCGCAGACCACCAGGTGACGGCGAGGTCTCGTGGTGATCTGCGTAAGACGTACCTCCGCTTGGCCTCCCAGAACCAGACGAAAGTGGCGAGCATTTCGCAGATCACAACCACCCAGGGGATGGCGAGGTCCCGTGTTGATCTGCGTAAGACGCACCTCCGCTGGGCCTCCCAGGAACCACCACAAGTGGCGACTGCTTCGCAGATCGCAGCCCCCCAAGGGACGTCGAGGTCTCGTGGTAACCAGCGTAAAACGTACCGCCACTGGGCCTCCCATGAGCCCACGAAAATGGCGACGGTTTCGCAGATCGCAGCCTCCCAGGGGACGGCGGGGTCTCATGGCGCTCTGCGTAAGATGTACTCCCGCTGGGCCTCCCAGGGGCCAACGAAAGTGGCGATGGTTTCGCAGATCGCAGCCCCCAAATGGGAAGGCGAAGTCTCGTGGTGAGCTGCGCAAGACGCACCTCAGCTGGGCCTCCCAGGAGCCACGGCAGCTCCGCTGCGCAAGTGACGACACCCGAGCGAGCCGCGGGCACGAGGCAGGACACAAGCGGGAGGAGAGAGGAGGAGGAGGGAGACGGGAGGACGCAGGAGGAGAGGGCGAGGAGGCGAAGGACAAGGACGGGGCAGACAGTGCTCTATTCAAAAATGAGTATTCAACCAAGGAAGGTGTTGGGACACATCAACTGCACCACATAGATTGCACCACGTAGATTGCTCCACACATGGTGCTTCACATAGGTTGCACAACATAGATGGCACAATCCAGACTGCACAACGTATATTGCTCCACATATATTGCGCCACGCAGATTGCGCACTGCAAATCTTGCACCACGGATATTACATCACAGTGATTGCACCAAGTAGGTTGCGCCACACATGTTGCAGCACGTAGATTGCACCACACAGGATGCACCACATAGAATGCACCTGCTATATTGCCCCATATCGATTCCACGACATAAATGGTGCCGCATATGTTGCACCACGCAGATTGCACAACATACTCTAGAGTCCACGCTGGCTGACATGTATATATATATATATATAGCACCATCTACGATTGGGTCCACGATGGCTGACATGTGTTTCTCTTGCTTGTTAAAGATTCGATGCTTTCTGTGTTTCAAAAAAAAGGGTTCCCGATGCAGCGTGGGCCTCACTTTCGGATGGGCGCTTTTGTCCCGTCGTTCGGAATGGTGCTCTCGCCACAGCCACGGCCACTTTTCTGGATCCGAATCCTTTTCCATCGCTGACGCCTCCTCACCTCCCCTCCTCCGCGTCCCCCAGTCCTCCTGTTCCTCTCGCCCCGTCCCTCCCAGTTCCTGCTGCTGCTGTTGGTCCTCGTGTACGTCCTTCCCTTTTTTTCCGATTGCGCATAACACGATGGGGTCCTCTTGGGGAGACAACATAGCGCAATGCGAAGGGATGGGTGGGAGTGGTAGGATGTCAGATATGGTGCGAGCGTGCCTAATTAGCTTGTCCTCCACCCTCTCCCTCCTCCTCCTCCTCCTCCTCCTCCTCCTCGTCCTCGTCCTCGTCTTTCTCCTCCTCCTCCTCCTCCTCCTCCTCCTCCTCCTCCTCCTCCTCCTCCTCCTCCTCCTCCCCCTGCCCCCTCCTTCGCTTGCTATCGCTGGTGCGCAGGCGCCCGTCGTCTCCCTCGCGACGCCTCCCTGGCCCCTCCCTCGCCCCTGCCTCCCCCTTCCTCCCCGCCGCCGCTGCCGCCGCTCGCCGCCGCCACCGTCGACGCCCTCGCCGCTCGCCCTCGCCACCCGTAGTCGCCCACGCCGCCGTCACGCCGCCGCCGCGGCGCTCGCTCGCCGCCGCCGCGGCGGCCGCCGCGGTGGCGAGGAGCGGCGGCGCAACGGCGGCGCGGCGGCGAGGCGAGCGGCGCGGCGGCCGCCGCGCGCGCGCTGTGCCCGCGGAGAGCGGCGGTGCCTTCTGGGCCCTCCGAGCCGCGCGGCGGGAGGCGGCCAGGCCTCGGGCGTTGCTTGATGGGGGTGCGCCAAAGGGGGATGAGGGGCGGGGGACATGCACCTGTCGTGCCCCTCCTGGGCTTCCCAGAGAGGGCACCTCACGGCCTCGTTTGGGGCACAAAGGGGCTGGACCCCCCCATTTCTCGCCCCCGCCCCCCCCCCATTCTCACACATCCGGTCACATCCGGCGTCTCGACTCTTTTGAGACGCGGGCCCCCCGCCTCTCGACCACTTCCCCGGGACGCGTTTTGCGCACCCCGAGGCCCGGCGAGGGCCCCTGGAGGCCGACAAAACTGCCAAAAAGCCGCCGCCCCAATCTTTTCAGAGCGTCGGATCGCTGAGTTACCCGACGCCCGACGCAGTGTTTTTCTCACAACGTCGACCCCCTGAGGCTTGGATCCCTTCCCCAGGACCGGCTTTTCATCCTGAGTCGTCCTTTGACGGTCCCGAGGCCCGGGGAGGGCCCCCGGAGGCCGAAACTCGCGAAACACCTCCCGTCGTGATTTTGCTAAACGAAAAATCGCGACACGTTTCGCGATTCCCGCAACAAAAACAGCGACCATCGCGAACCAGCTCGTGAACATCGCAAAAGCCTCCCGCCGGAGATCGCGAAAGCGCGACGGAGGTCTGCGTTGCTCGAGGCCCGCAGGCCCACGGCCGCGAGCGCGCCGGCGGCGGCGCCCGCGGGCAGGGCGGCGGGGGCGCTGCCGGCCGCGGCGGCCCCCAGCGCGGGCTCGCCCTGCTGCCGGGCGCCGCCGCCGCCGCCGCCGCCGCCGTCCTCGTCGCCGTCCTCGCCGCCGTCGCCGTCGCCGTCGCCGTCCTAGCCGTCGCCGCCGTCCTCGCCGCCACCGCCGCCGTCGCCATCCTGGGGACGAGGAGGAGGGGAGAGGAGAACGGGGAGGAGGGAGAGGACGGAGAGGAGGGGAAAGGGGAGAAGGGGGGAAGGGAAGAGAGGAGGGGACACGCGAGAGGGGAGGAGGGACAGCTGGAGAACGGAGGATGGAGGACCGAGGACTGAGAGAGAGGAGGGGGGCAGGGGAGGATGAGAAATCGATTGGAATCGGTCCCGAGGCCCCTCCCAAGCACCAGCCCGAACGAGCTGTCGAGGCTCCCCACCCAGCAGCGGCGGCGAGAGCTCAGCAAGAGGCCTCGCCGCTCCCCCCAAAGGGCCCCCCCCCCGGATTCGTGATTTCTGTAGTACCAGCAGCAGCATGGGGAGGTTGAGGAGGATCCGCACATCCTTTGGAGAAACAGCACCAGTGACAAAAGCATAACAACTCGAGGGTCCGCGAGGATTCCTCGGATCGGTGCTGGGGCCCCCCTGGCGGAGCCTCAGGCGCCGATCCTAGAAAGCCGCGCGGACCTCCGATGTTTTACGTTTATGCCATTGCTTATTCCCCGAAGCCTTGCCCCCTGGCAGGGCCGTTATCTCTTTTCCTCGAAAGCAAACCAGGACAACAGATCGGTCACATCCGCTGCCCCTCAGGGGGGGGGTGCCATCCCAAACGCGCAGCATCCTAAACGCGCGAACCCTGGCAGGGCTATACTGTTCTTCAGCTCACCCCCTGGCCAGTCCTGGTCCGAGCAGACACCACCTCGCGTGACTCCTGCCAGGAGCCTGAGGCCGCAGCAAAGCACACGAAGAGCTCCATAGCGTGAGCGCCCCGCCTTCCTCTCCCCGCCCCCTCCCTTCGGGAGGGGGCTGTGCAGGACATTCGGGGAGCATCAGGGGTGTGGGCAGGACCTTCGGGGAACTAGCAGTGGTATAAAGCTACAAACTCGGAGGTCCGCGCGGACTTCTTAGATCGGCAAAGGAGCCCCCTGACGGCGCCTCCGCCGCCGCCCCTGGCGCGCTCCGCGCGCCAGGGAAGGGAGGTCCAGCGCCGACTCCCAACAATCCGCTCGGAGCTCCGAGTGCTTGTGTTTGTGTCAGTGCTCATCCGCCGAGGCATGGTCAGGGACAGTGTGCGGTACCGGCTTCTCAGGCGCCTTCCAGGCCTCAGCCCTTTCTGTGGGCTGGGGCTCGCATTAGGCTCCTCCTCCAACGAGGCTAGAATCACCAGCCCCGAGTACACCGCGAATCCGGGCCCTCCGCCCGCCGCACGCCCGGAGCAGCCCAAGGCACGGTGGCGCAAAGGAATAGAACAAGGCGGGCCCAGGCCTCGGCGCGTCGGGGCCCTGCTCCTCCTCCTCCTCCTCTCCTCCTCCTCCTCCTCCTCCTCCTCTCCCTCCTCCTCCTCCTTCCTTCCTCACTCTCCTCCCTCCGGTTCCTCCTCCCCCTCCTCCTCCACCGCCGCCTCCTTCTCCTCCTCTTCCGCCTCCTCCTCCCCCTCCTCCTCCTCCTCCTCCTCCTCCTCCTCCTCCTCCTCCTCCTCCTCCTCCTCCTCCTCTCTCCTCCTCCTCCTCCCCCTCCTCGTCCTCGTCCTCGTCCTCGTCGTCTTCTGCCCTCTCGAGCCCCATCCGCCCTGCAGCGATCCAGCTGGCGATCGCCGGCGCCGCGACCCCAAAAACGTCTACTCGTGGCGTGCCCCCGCACCTCTCCCCCCCCCGCGGACACCTCATCCGTTCCTGGGGGCTGCTCTTCTCGTCAACCACCTGGCATCATTCCCTGGGGGGGCCAGTTACTCGACACTTCTCCATCTCCTGGAGGCCGGTTGCCCAATCCTTCGGTGGGGGCCCCCGGGCACAGCCTCTGGGTGTCGAGCGTTTGCCCGAGCTCTATTTTACCAGGCCTGGCCCAGGGCGCGCTCCGACCAGAGCTATCTCGAGGGGGCTCCAGCCGCAACGACGAGAGCCCACCCACGAGGCTTGATTCCGACGAGAAAGCATGAGGATCGACCACATGGACGTTATTATGCACCGCGCTTTGACCGGAGCTAATTCGAGCGAAGTGTGGCCGTGAGGACGGGGGAGGCCCCCGAAGACCAACTTGACGGATCCACGGACCCGTCAGGACCTTCAGTCAAACTTTCGTCTGACGTGCGTGCAGCACGTTCCCTTTGCTTGTCTGCAACCGCTACATCATGCACATCCTGCTTACCCTCCTCCTCCTCCTGCTTCTCCTACTCATCCCCACCTCCTGCTTCGCCTACTCCTCCTCCTCCTCCTCCTCCTCCTCCTCCTCCTCCTCCTCCTCCTGCTCATCCTCCTGCTTCCCTCCTCGTCCTCACTGCCCCTCCTTCCTCCTTCCTCCTTCCTCCACCTCGTCATCATATCCCTGCCTCCACATTCCGCTCCCCATCGTCATCTCCCTCCTCCTCCAGCACGGCGGCGCCTGTGCACGTGTGAAGAATCCGACGCGATTCAATGGGGTCCACCTGGACCGTCGACACGAAAAAAAATACAATGCCCCGCGCGCACGCGCCAGGCGAATGTTGGCCCCCATTCCGCGCACGTGTTTTCACGTGTGGAGGATCCGACGCGCCCAAGTTGCTCCCCCCCCCCCTGGAAGCTGTGGACATGCAAAAACGCGTGCCCCCCGCGCGCACTCGCTGGCGCATGTTGAGACCGCCCCCTCCGCGCGCATTTTCACGTGGAAAGACTCTGGCGGGCCCAGGTTGGATCCCCCCCTTGGGCGCACGCATTTCCATGTTTAAGAAATCCGAAGCGCCCAGGTTGGGTCGCCCCCTGGGGGCCGTGGACACGTGAAAACACATGCACCGCGCGCACGCGCCAAGCGCATGCTGCCCCTCCCTACCTTCCGCGCACGCGTTTTTCATTTGTATAGAATCCGGCCGGCCCAAGTTGGGTTCCCCCCTACGGGCCGTGGACATGCGCGCACGCGCCAGGCGCATGTTGGGTCCACTCCCTCCGCGCGACCGTAAGGACGGGGATCTCCCAGGAGGTCCCCGAAGACCAAAAACGTCAACCTCCTCATCCTCCTCCTCATCCTCTTCCTCCTTCTCCTCCTTCTCAGGTCGTCCTCCTCCTCACGTCTTCTTCCCCCTCCTACTCATCCTCAAGTCCCTCTCCTCTTCCTCACCTCTTCCTCCTCATCCTCCTGTTCAGGCCCCCCTCGTCGTCCGCCACCATCCAGGGCGCTCGATCCTCCGACCTCGACGGCGGCGACGACGGCGACGACGACAACGGCGACGACGACGGCGACGACAACGGCGACGGCGACGACGGCGACGACGACGACGGCGGCGACGACGACGACGACGAGGACGACGCGAAGGGCCCAGCCCGTCCTGCTGCGCTGGCGACGCGGCGGCCAGGCGCGCCGGCCCGGGTGCGGCGGCGCCGCCGGGGGCCAAAAACGCCTCCGGGCAGGCCAGGAGCTGGGGGAGGGTGGGGGCTGCGCTTTTTTGGGGGGCAGCTCTTGGGAAAAGGCGAAGCCAGGACGATGATAAAGTCACGGGAAGGTAAGCTGAGAATCTCTGGGATCCGGCGGCTCTCGAGGATGTCTCGGGCGCCGCGGCCTTCTCAAAGCATTCCGGAACGCTCCGAGAGCGTTCCGGAGCGCTCTGGGACGGATTTATCATGCACCCTGGTCCTAGCACCGTCCGATGGGAGGTCTTCGTGAGAACGGTTACGGGCTATGAAGCCCAAGTGTGGCCTGCTGGAGGGGGCATGACTACGGATCAGGCCCAAGTAGAGCCTGCTGGAGAGGGGGCCCAGGACTAAAGCGGATCAGACAAGATTAAGAACTTAGCGGAATCATGCCAGACTGAGCGGTTTGTCGACCACGGAGATCCACGCGCCGATACTGAATTTCAGCCGCTATGGCTGTCTAGGACGCCTTCCTCCCCCTCCTCCCCCTCCTCCTCCTCCTCCTCTTCCTCCTCCTCCTCTTCCTCATCCTCCTCCTCCTCGTGCTCCTCAAAAGATTGCGTGCTCGTCTGTCCGTCCGTCCGTCCGTCTGTCTGTCTCTGTCTGTCTCTTTGTCTGTCTGTCTGTCTGTCGGTCTGTCTATGTGTCTGCCTGTCGGTCTGTCTGTCTGACTGTCTGCCTGTCTTTCTGCCTGCCTGTCAGCCTGCCTGTCCGGTGCGCGTTTTTTCCCCATATCCTAAGGATTGGGGTTCTTGTTATTACTCTGACGCCTCCCACTCCTCCTCCTCCTTCTTCCTCCCGCCTCCCGCCTCCCTCCTCCCAATGATAATCACCAGATAAGACAAGACAAGATAAGATACTACAAGATAAGATAAGATAACACGAGATATGATAAGGTAAGATAAGATATATGACAAGGTAGGATAATATATATGATAAGACAGCCTATGGAGTAATAATATAAGACAAGATATGATGCGATAAGATGAGTTGATATAAGATCAGCTAATACAAGATAGGAGATTTCAAGATAAGATAAGCTAGAGGGTAATAAAGGTAAGATAGGACTCGATAAGATAAGATGAGACTCACTCTCACTCAGACTCACTCACAGTCACATTCACTCACACTCACACTCTCTCATGATCACAAAACGCTGCCAGGGGCATCATTTGGGAGCCCCAAGGGGGAGCCACCCTGGCTGATCTCACGAGCCCGTTCGCGCCGATTTTGGTGGGACGTCTCAGCTAAAATTGCCGTTTGGCCTCCCCAACATG